TGGCTACATCTGTCACTAGTTGATGTTCTTCATCAGCTCTTACACATTGATAAGGTCTTCTCCAGGCTGAGCAGTCCTAGTCCTTGCAACTTCCTCATAGGGAAAATTGTCCAGTTCCTTCACCATCTTAGTGTCCCTCCTCTGGACTCACTCCAGTGGCTCCATGTGTCTCTGTGACTGTGGAGCCTAAGAGGGAACACAGCGCTCCAGATGTGGCTTCACCAGGGCTGAGAAGAGGAAGGTAAAATATAGAGATACRTAATTCACAAGCTGTTTCTCCAAAATTTTTGGAGAAGATGAAAAACACTCCTAAGGTTACTAAATACTAAAATACTACAGATTCATTCTGCAAGTTACTTGATTAGCAGATTTTGTGTTTGGACTGGGGTGAGAAAGAAAAGGGAGGCTATTGTTTCCAGGACCATTTTGTAGCCTCTGATGCAGGTTGGGCTCACAGGGCCTCCTAGTGTTCAAAGACTTTTCATCCCCTAGTGTTTCCTTAGAATGAGTTAGTATACTAAGACAACCATAAAGTATTTTCYTTTTTACAAAAAAAATAACCACAGAAAAGGCTAGTTAGTCTAATATTTTAAATAAGCTTAAAAAAAGAAAATTTGTAAGGGATTAGATGTCAAACATACTTACCAACTAATAGTTTGAAAGAAAAACTAAGGTGGATCATATTTGGCCTATAGAGAACTTATTTCGCATTTATTTAACCCTATGTACAGTACAGTATGAAAGACCAACATAATACTCCTTTAAGGGCACAAGTAAGTGATACTGTGGCTGTTGCCTGGTACTGTGAATTAGAATACTTTATTTTAATAGAAATCCACAGATAACCACAGATAAAAGCTCAGTAGTGCGTTAGATATGGTTGAACAAAATATTGATACTGAAAAACATTTTAAGTACTTCACTGCCTGAGTAAATACAAATGCTGTCTGGAGCTTGTCTGAGCCTGGARCCTCATCTGTGTGTTCCTGGTGCATTACACAGAAGTAGGAGACTTCCTCACAAGTTTGGTACAGAAATCTACTACTTGTCACCCTGGAACAGCTAAATAGAGTTGAGTGCTTTAACTAAATTATTGTAGCTTGCACATGGGCAGAAGATAGTAATGAAACAGTTGAAGACAGGAGTGATGAAGGGCCAAGCTAATTTACCTAGGAACTATGAACATAAAACTGGACCATTAGTAAGGCATTCAATGAATGAAGCAGCCATAAAATTCCCTTCTCTTTCAGGACAGAGAGATGGAGAAGTTTTCTGGATCTACCTCAAAGACTTCTCAAGCCCACTCCAGGCCTGAATTTTTTAGTTTTCCCAGTTGTCTTTTATTAGATGCCCAAGTTTCCTTAGAAGGMATTTCAAACCCTGCCTTACCACACGTGTAAAACAAAATCATCTCTCACTTTTTCATAGGCAGAAAATGGAACAAGAGACTCTACATGYCCTTTCATCCTCACCCACTTGGTCAATTCTCATTAGCAAAGCTCATTCTTGTGGGGTAAGCTCCACTAAAACATTAAATATGGAGCCAGCCACGAAAGCAGCTATTCAAAGTATGGGGAAATAGTTGGGTCCTGCTGATGGAGGCAGCCCCATGGCAGATGTTCCTGTCCTCTGGGGAAGGTGGACTCTTCACCTATTTGAGATAATTTGTTCAGTTCTAAATAGCACAATATTTTAGAGAAAACAACTGGTCCTTTTAATACAAAAGGGGGAAAAAAAGGCATTTGCAATGTAAGGCAATACCCAAGACAGAAGGCTGCATTTCTACCATTATTGGTTTAATATTATATGCACTTGAAATACATATAAATATCTACCTGAGATCCTGCCATAAAGCTAATCTTCTCTCTTACTTTGCAGACCATGTTATTTAAAGCCAAAACATAGCAACCCCGGCAGGTAAATTGCCCAGTGTTATATGTCATTGAGTATCACCTCCCATTTAGTTTTCTATAAAAGCCATTACCTAGCACTGATCACAGTGATAAGGCGGCTTTGTACATCCATTTCTTCCTTACTGAAACAGCAGCAGCCTCATGGAGCAACTTGGGAGACTCATTCAACTGGATGCCAGAGGTATGTAAGCGGACAAACCAGAGTGTGCTACCTAAAGCTCTACTTATATGTAAGCTTTTTTTTTCCGCTCTCCCCAGAATTGACATGAAATACAAGAAAAGATGTCCTCCTTTCATAACCTTGCCCAAGAATAGCAGTGGTTTACCTTTTTAGGATATAAAGCAAGGAGATAAGAAAAGAAGCTTGTAGAGAAAGTGTCAGGAAGGGAGAGAATGGCTGCAGCTATTGCTCCTTTATGCGCTTAGATTAAAACTAACACTGTTTAACTAGGCAATGCTGTTCATAAATGATACTATACTTCTGTGATTTTTAGATTAAGGCAGGAAAGAAAGCCTGAATCTACTGAGACTAAGTAACCTTTACACAGAGACAAGTCACACAGGACCTCCTTGAACTAGTTCTTCCTTACAAGGGATCTGACTGAGCTTGAACATATATATATAGATAGATATGGGTACAGATATTTTTTAAAAATCAGTTTCTAATTTTCCCTTAATAAAGATCTGATGACAATGAATCATTCCAACTGTGAAAATAAAATGTGCACCTTATTTCTAATATGAAAGAGCTTAGCTTCCAGTTAATTAAAATATTATTTTCTAAGGAAATTTGAAAGTAGAAGATGGCTTCTAAAAGACTTTAATACTGTTAACTACTCTGGTGAAAGACAAAAAGGACAGTTGTAATTTGATATTGAACTCATGCACAATTACAGAACCCATTATATATGTACATATACTGTAGTATCTATGCACAATAGCCGAAACAGAGCTTAGTTACATGTAACTTAAGTTCCAGTTTGCAGTTTTGCTGAATGAATGAGCCAGYAATTTTCAGTGGCAGTAGATCTTTGTGTAGGGATATGTTACCCTKCTCTCAGCCAGCACAACCTGTGCAGAAGTAACACACACAAACAGCACTTCCCCTGGGAGAAAAGCTTTGATTTGGTTACAGTCACATGTTGAAGCCTACAGGCAGCAGACACATGGTAGGAATGTGCTTTGCTCCACTGTTATTCAGGGAAGATGCACTGTGGATAAATGTGGAGAGGAGCACAGAAATGCTATTTATTTCCAATGCAGCAGACACAGAAATCCAGTGCATTAGCCAGGTGGCTTCCCAGATAAGCCTCTTGAATACTATGAGGAGATTGGACCAATGGGTTATGTAAACTCTCAAACTTTTTGTTTAAATCCTCAACTGTAATCCTGAAAAGAAGAACTGTTGCCAAATAAAAGCCTAATTATCTGGAAATAGTTGAGAAGTCATTGCTGAAGTTATATCATTGAATGACACTGTGAAGTCATTGTAGATCATTGAAGTCACTGCTCATTTTAAAAGAACTTGAATAAGACCAAAACTAAATGATTAGAAAAATTGCCTTTTCAGGTCCTCAAAAGAGTTACCAGCATGCCTATCTGGCACCAAGAGAATATATAATTCAGCCTATTCTTGGGCCAGCATTTTAGTCTGCACAGAAGACAGCTCTTTATCATTTTCCCCTTAATTCCTGTGTTACGGACAAAAGCACACATGGCTGAAGAGCTTCACAAAGGGATTCAGGAATCACTAGAAAAGAAACTTTTTTCATCAGTTTTCCATCAGAAAGAGCTGGAACTGCTCATGGACTGTAAAAAGGTGGTGCTGTAAATCGTATTAGTATTGACAAAAGGTTAGCAAAAGCCTGCACATAAATCTTTAAAAAAGAAGCAACAAAAGAAAATTATTTCCTTTCAGAAATATTTTGAAGCTCAGTAATAYCTGGGGTTTATTCTCACAGCGCTCAGAGAGGCCAAAGCAACACACCTATAGCTTTAGTATTCCCTATAGCTTTAACACTATAGCTTTACATCCCTTTGTTCCCTTGTCCAACTACCCTAACCTCAAGTGTGTTATTTGATCTAATAAAGAGTATAATTTTTTCCTACAACACATGCCACACTGTCTATTTTGGAGTTAAAAACCATAAAACATGGGAGACATTTAATTGCTGTTAAAGGTTAGTCTGAACCATTTATTTTCAAACTCCAAATAATGAGGTCTGTCAAAGTTTTATTAAGTTACTATTTTTAGACTCTTAGTGACAGAGTAGTAGATAATAATCTTTATTCTAAGTGAAGCATTCTGCAAGGAGCCTATGAGTATGAAAGCTATTATGACTAGATACAGCAAAGGCCCTATCAAWCATCTCTGCCTTGGGTGTTTTGTGGTCCCAGATATCACAAGATCATTCACTAACTTCGTTTGGCTACATTTACAGGTGTTGATCTTATTCATTAGTGTTGTAGCCCTTAACCTTAGATTTTTTTTTTTTTAACATCAGTTTGAAGAAAGCAAGAGATAAATGAAAGTTAAAAACATTCCTCCCACAAAGGCATGGAACTAGACTAAAACAAACCTAAAGAAAAGGTCTACTTTTGAACCTGTACCCTTTTAAACTGCATTCAGAAATTTTCAATAATCAAAGAGTGAAATTCTGAAAAAGATATCACTCTTTTTATCTTTTTTCCTCAAAGTAAGTAAAAAGGCCCAGACCTTTAATAGGATATTACTGAAAGTAGCAGATGCTTAGCTTTTTATATCAAGTTCACAGCATTCTGCAATTTTAGATCACAGAGGTATATCAAAATCCCAATCTTCTCCATAGAAGTAAAACTGTTCATTGAAGTAAATTATACTTAAAATGCTGAACATGTTTAAGTTTAATCTTGAGGCATCATTGAGCCAGTCCTAACACACAATAGTTCCAGAGCTCTAGAGCATCCTTAGAAGCAAGTTTACTCCTTACAGAGACAACCACAACTGTTACAAACTGCTCTCCAGTGCCAGAATTCCACAGTTTCCTTTCTCAAGTGCCATTTAAATGTTAACATTTAAAATATGCTTCCATCTTGTTCAATACRAAGGATTACTGGAAAAGACACGATTGTACTTAGTAAAGAAACTGCTGTCACGTTTGGAGAACAGAAGGAAGTACCACCAGGATTTTGCCTCATCCACGTCATTTCACGGAGTGCATAACATCGTCCAAACGCGGAGCAAGACACGCAGAGCGCTGTGGCTCTTGGTGGTCGTGGGCTCCCTTGCCATCGTCATCTGGCAAATCTGCAATCGCTTCATCTATTACTTCAGCTGGCCAACAACAACTTCAGTTTATGTTCAGTACGTGGAAAATGTTGAGTTTCCTGCTGTCACTTTTTGCAACTTGAACAGGTAACAGCTACTTCTCATGGTCGCTTTTGAGAGGCAACAAGTCTCTATCTGGCACATCTACCATAGTCAGACCGTCAGACCCCGTAACTTCTTTAAGCAAATCACACAAAAAGAAAATGGGGCTTCAAGGGATGTGTATTCCACACTGCTGTGGAACCATATTAACCAYGGGTGTTCCTTATACGATGTGACCAGGGAACAGTCACATCAAAGTTAAAAGTAAAAGCCAAGACTTATAAATACGGATTCTCAAATAGAAACCTCATACAAAAGAAGTGTAATGCAAACCAGTTTGCTTTTTCAGAGGTGCTCAGTTTAAAAGTAATGCAGCAAACACTACTTGCTTTCTAGAGAATATATATAATCTAAAAGCAGTTTGAGAAGTAGTTTACTCAAATTGTTTCATTAAGATGGATAAATTTTGTTATCATCCACCTTCTGCTGGCAGAATAATTTAAAAGTCCAGGTTTAAAATAGCCAGAGCCTTCCTGCTTTGCTTTAATTCCTTCCAATTGCCTTTCATAAAACCATCCAAGGGTTACGTTGCAGAAGCTGCCCTGGAGACTGTCTCTGCTGAGTACAGTGGGCTGTGCATTACAGAAATGCCTCAGTTCTTGTAACTATAACTGCAGCATATTGTAAGCAAACAGTCACCTACTGAGCCTGGCAGCTGTCCGTTTAAGTGACAATTAAGTGACAATTTTCTTCCACACCCATCTGTTCATGCTGTGCTTATTCTTTCATCCTATTTTCAGGAGAGAGTTATGTGCTGACAGAACAAAATCAGAGGCACAGAGCTACCTTTGGCTTCATCTTTTGGCTCCAATTCAGTTGCAAAGGAYTCTTCCTGCCAATCTTACACGAGTTTCAGCATTAAAACCTATCATACCAATCAAATGATGTGCTTAAAAAAAAAAACCTAACGCAGAAAAAGCTAAATAAAGAATGTCCTATTACCATGTGCATATGTTTATATATACACTCCTATATATATGCAGCTTCACTTCTTTTTCAGAAGAACTGTACAGTAAAACCATTCATTTATTTCACTAAGCGACTTCAACACTCTGTGTGAGGAAATCACCTCTAATATCCCATTGTGGTTTTGAGATTTTCAAGTGGATCCTAGGAATAAGTGTCTCTCTTGGGTTATGCTACTGTGTCACAATCAGAGATCATAAGAGGTCTCTGCTGCAGTGTGTAGTGCCTTAGCATCACTAGGYACATGCAAATAACACAAATTCCCTGAGAAATCAGTTTTCTGATTGAYGCAACAGTCTTTTTGTTTCAAGGAACAGCTCTCCAAGCTAGTTTCCTATGCAACAATGCAATTGCTCAGCTTATCGTCAGTTCTACAAAGCCAGGTTTGGGCCTCTGCAGATGGCCAATTTTAGCATTTTAACAACCACACACAGTCGCAATGTCGCTAATATTATTGACCAGAATTGCTGCAGGAAGGAGCCCTTTTTAGGTATAGAAAATTTCCCATTAGTAGAAATGAGGACTGCATTGGGTATTGGTGTTGTAGACATTAAAATATTGTTGAAAAGAATCAGATGTAGTCTAAGGACAGGACAGACAATTAGCAAATTGTGTCATAATTTGGCAAAAAGCACTGCGATCATTTCTATAACTCTGCAGAATTCTCTCTTCCTGCTGACAGGTTTCAAGCTCATGCAGTAACCAATCTCCGAATTATCTATTTGCTTTGGAGCATCATGTCTGGAGTTCACCAAAAAATTTCTGTGCAAGTTAATTTTTCACAGGAGCTAAATAATTTCCTTCTTGGCAACCAGAACTTCAGCATTAAAGAGTTCACAAGGGAGCACGGGTTTTATCTCAACAGCAGCACACTGCTAGAATGTGAATTTTTTGGAAAGCCATGTTACCCAGAGGTAAATATTTTTCCTTTTACTAGAACAGTAGCACAGAGGGGAAAGGGAATGTACTCTCAGCACTCAGCTTTAGACAGTTAATTTGGTCAGCTACTCTCCTGGCTTCCCTTTGGAGAGATGGAGAGAAGAGTTCCTGCTCTAAATAACCCTGCAGAGACTGACTAGTAAGGCTCCGTGAGCCATAAATTGGGATTTCAATCTAAATTGCTTTCTGCTAAATACTCCTTCTGCATAAACATCAGCCTTTAAAAAGTGCAATGTCTCTGGGCTTTATCCAGCATTGTTTTCTATTTCATTCATTTTGAATGTAATTTTTGCAAAACACAATTGCATAGTAGCATTCAGCTGAAGGAATTACTTTTTAAGCTCTTTAAGTCCAGAGGAACTAGGGTAATTCTATGTAGAACCCACAAAAAAAAAAAAAAAATGGAGATGAATACAGCTCATCTTTGGGAATTTTGGAAAAATAACTGAAAAGTGTGATTCTCCCATTTTTATGTCAGTTTTTACATAGAATATTTTACAACTCAGATAGAACAAGTACACATAAAAGTCAAGTTTATATTATTTTTGGTTAATTCAAATGTTAAATCCTGCTGTCCTTTCTACAATTAGACTTTGATGCACTCCCTTAACTGAAAAACTACATTACCACCTAATTACTAAAACATTAATGCAGTCAGATATACTTGTAATAGAAAATGTTTTCAGCTGAGTGACCATTCCAGCAATGKAATTTTAAGTGATCTTGCTTTTATTTTATTCTTCCCTCTATTTTTTTTTCTGAAGGATTTTGAACATGTTTTCACTGAGTACGGAAATTGCTTTACTTTTAATCACAACGATCTTCCACAAAAGAGAACAGTGAGTGTGTCTGGACGAGGTTTAAGTTTACTTTTTGATGTCAAACAGGTACAGTCATACTGATAATTCTATGCTTGTGCTAATTTATAAATTAGGAGATTTGTACACACACCTATAGAATTTCATGTACATGCTATTTCTTTCTGACTAAGAAGAGATTTTAGAGGAAAGATACAGCTGTGATTTAAAAATTAGGGATGACTATTGACTCTGTTCTCAGCTAAAACCATCTGAAAACCATCAGTAATACAACTCAACTGAAACATCGTCAGTGCTGTAAAATATAATGCAAACCATTMAGAAAACTATCATTTAATTTTAAATAAAGGTTGAGTAGTGAAGATGACATGGAGACAATTTCTACCTACCAAATGTTGGTTTCAGTAGCAGTTTGATGCCAGCTTAGATATGACCTTGGCACTGTAAATATTAACAGAACAACAGAAAACTCAGGATATATCACTTATGAGATTAGGGAAGAAAGCTAAGATTTAGAGTGGTAAAATGAGTGAGACATTCAGCTTTCTAGGTAATATAAGAAGTTCTTGACAAGTTCTTGAGGTGGTAGTGGAAAGGCTGCAGAAACAGGAGAGGTAGCTGCAAGTAAAAGGAATAAATCTCCAAGCTGTCAGTCACCGTTGGTTTGAGACTTCTTGTTGCTGAAGATGAAAGATACAGGAGAAAGAAAAGCCAACGGTTTAGGAACTTTAGARGAAAACCCAAACAAGGGTGCAACCAAGGAAATAAAAGTCAATGTGCTTTTACACCTTTCTCTAAATTACCAAAGATATAAATGGGGATTTAAAAAAAAAATCACCTAAAACAGCACTGCATTAATTTAAATAAAAGTAAAGCCTCAGATGATAAACAAAGAGAAAACAACCTTAAATAATTCTTTTTGTATCAGGAACAATTCACTGATGACCCTTCCCTTGGTTACATTGATGCTGGCATAACTTACGTTATCCATTCGCCCAGAGAACTGCCACGCTTCGATGGTTTGGGATTGTCCACGCCGGTCGGCATGCACGCTCAGGTCGCCATCCACCAGCTGAAGGTAAGGGTTTCCCTAATCACAAGTAGCTGGCTTGGCTTTCTCTAATCCTCGTCTGARGTGTGACGGCAACTGCAAGATTTTGGAAATCAAAATATTTATGCCACAGTCATTGTTGAGAATAATGCTTCCTCCAACTGCAAACAGAATTACTGCTGTCTTTCTTTCCAGACATCATTGGTCTGTTCTATAATCCGTTTTACTAAAACAKAAAAAACTAAAGACATAATCTCCTTTACTAAAGTCAACCTGTCTTTTCTAAGATCTTACAACTTCACTGCCATCTAATGCTATAGGGATATTGTTACAAAGATACCACAACAGCTGTCCAATAACATATTCTATTAATATTTATTTCATACCAGAAAAAGACAAATTACTTAGTACACTAGAACCTACACTGATCCTGTTACATGAAAACTAGAAAAATATCTAGAGGAGCAGRTTATCACTTTTGTTTTAGACAAAGAACATTTACTCTAGCAGTGATAAAATGCTCTCTTTACATTAAGACCATCAACCTCAAAATAATACAAGATTTCCCTGTTGCTATTCCATTCATGATAAACTCTTGTATATCTGAAAAATGTGCTTTCCATACACTGTTTAATACATGACTACTTCTGCTTTTCCACAAGCCTAGCTAGTCACACTCACTAAAGACCAGAACATAGCAGCTCTTTTTATCTTGTCCTGTTCAATCTGAAATCAACATGTATATCTTCTCAAATGTAGGGAACAGACAAGTACTTGCAGAGGGCATAATGTATGTACTTTTTTCTCTGTGTTTAATTCTCATTTCAATTTCACAGTCAAGCTTGCTGAACTGTTTTCAAGAGTATTGGCGATGTGGCTCATTCTAGATACCAGGGCTTTAAAGTTCTGACAAGCAAATTGAGCTCTGCTTCCTTGTCCAAACTTATGGAGGTGGATTACTCCACCTCTAGGAGGMTAGAGGATCATGAACTAGGCTAACTCATAATCTATCTTTGCCATATAAGAAAGGAAATTATTTTAAAAGTAACTCCACAAGTACAAGCTGTAATTGCATCCAAATAAATCAACACTATTTCTGCTTATGACATGAACAAGCTTTCTTTAGCACTTCAAATTATGAAAAAGAGACAAAAAGATTTCTTTTACTACTATCCTATAGACAATCATTCAAGAATACCCATGGGGAGAGTGCAAGCCTGACATGAAACTTCAGCACCACAAGATTTATAGCACTTTCGGATGTTTGCGGGAGTGCAAGGCCCGGTACATACAAGATTGGTGTGGCTGCCTACCATTCATTCTTCCAGGTATTACTCTGGAATATTTAGTCATACGCTGTATTAAAGGTTATCTTGCTATCAAATAAAACTTACATATGGACAGCAAAGGAAAAGGGGCAGATTCTTGAGTTGTATCTATAGGTAAGATTTAATTTTACAGGGATACAGTGTTTATTTAAGTTTTAAATAAGACTGACATTTTAATTCAAGAAAACAATGTATTTTGTGAGCTCTAAGAATAGTTCCTGATTATTAGCTGTTCTTACAAAAACCTCCTGTCTTGACCTCCTAAAGACGATGGAATTAAACCTATTAAAAAAAAAACCAACCCAATAACAACAACAAAAAAAAAACCCACAGATTTTCTTATCTTCTGTAGGACAACACTGACATTTTAGGTGTTCAGTAGCCAGGGCAGGATTAACAGCCCAAAGCTAGTTAGATCTTAGTTCCCTAAACAAACAAGGAACAAAGTCTGGCACATGAAATGGGACTCTGCAAAAGGCTTGGATGGGGCCATAGGAAACACAGAGGACACAAGTGTACCATAACACTCCCCTCTTGAATCCCCTAAGGAGCCTGAATTGCTCTGGAAATGTAAGGAATAAAACTCTGACAGAGCCCAGACTGACATCTTTGCTCCAACCTTTTCAGCAGCAAATGCAATAACAGGGTCACTCTCTCTGAAGTAAGAACTAGAATTCAAAAATCATCTCTCTATATATAGATATATAAATACATATTATTTATACATACAAAATATATATACATACAGACAGTTCAACAGAACCAAAAGCCACCATGGAAGGTGGCAGCACCAGGGAAGGTGGAGGACCCTTAACCTTAACCCCTTTGCGACCAAAACCAGCTTTGGGGACTTGAAAGTGTGTGGTAACTAACAACGTGATGCCATTTAAAACAAATATTCTAGGTAAAAGACATTTTTCTCATAGTATTGTAAAATGGGCAGACATTTGAAGAAGTCTCCTGAGCTTTCACTTGGAAGTATTTTTAGAATAGCTTCCTACCTTAGAGAAAATGTCATTAAAAGAGTTTGAACAGAAAGTGGATTAACTGTTCCTGTTTAACGCTGCAGGGAAATAACAAAGAAATAACTCATGCATGTTATTGAACATAATTTTTTAATATCTTCTTAATGTGAATTAAGAGAATATATATATATAAGGTTCTCTCAATATATAAGAGAACCTAAGTATAGGATAGTGTAGGAGTGATAATATATAATCTTTGCCCAAACCTGCTATTCATGAATCATGATATTTTTGGAGACCTTAAGCTTCTTGACACTAAATATTCCTTAACATTCCTTAAATATGAATGCTTAATTCCTTTAATTGTTTTAGAATTCACTGTTATTTCTAATAAATGGTCTGATCTAACTGTAGACACTTGATTAGGAATTTGATTCTGTATGTTTGTACATTTGCTTGTAGAAATTTATTTCAGGGGATTTATTTTAAAAACAAGCTTTCCTGGTATACAGGCAAGTTTAATTCTTCTGCAAAATTTTTAAGGATAGTAACTGTTTTCAAAATTGTGCTAACGATGTGCTTGTAACAAAACAGAGAACCTACCATTTAAACAAACACCTTTATCAGGCATCCTGGCACTTTTAAAAGGCYAAGCAATGTTTCCATGCAAGGTGATCATCTGCACTGAAAACTTAGGCCACCTGAAATCCAAAACCTTGCCACTGGCCTGGGGTGCTGTCTTTGCCCTGACATCTCCAAATAAGTCTTGCACAAAGTTTTGAACTACCACTGAAACAGGTGCAATATAATTCTTCTCCCTACCTTGTTGTTTTTTTCTATACGGAAAGACAGAAACTCCTGGCCATAGCAAGCTAATGACAAGAGAGAGCCACCAGCTTAAAAGCAGTTTTGGGCTGGCTCATAAAGATACTCACTCCACCGAAAAGCCTCATGGTTTATTCTGTTGTCTTCTATTTCCACTCCGCTTTCGTGTTGGTAAMTATTGTGCCACATTGAACCCTTTGCTCAGTTACAAAATAAGAACATGTAGACTTTGAAGGCTTTACTCTTCAGTTTAGCACAAGTAGAGCTAAGAGCTAAGACTGTTAAACTATGCTCCTAAAGTTATTTATTTTTAAGGAAATGGAACAGAATGTGATATACAGAAGTTTTACACATGTGTTTATCCTGCACTCTGTAAGTAATAATTTCATATTCATATTTGCTAAGCCAATTCCAAATAGAAGAAATTCTCTCTCAATTAAAGCCAAACACTGAAATCAGTGCTGAAATGAAGCATGTCACGATTAATTTAGAATTATTAAAACAGACTGAGCAAGGCACTGAATAAGTGTCAGTTAAAACAGACAATTCATGTTCATCAAATAGTTCATAACTGAARGATGTAGAATTAATCTTCACTAATCAAGAGTCTTGCTTGCATTTTGGGACATTCATGGTGTCATCCTTCTAGCTTCAATGCTCTTTCTATTCTTTTTGTTCATGAGAGAACTATAAAAAGCACAGTAGTAAGAGATTTSTTAACTTGTGAAAAAAACTCAAAACCACTGCATGTTAAGGTTTCTTTTTTTAAAAGTTAAAATGGATTATAAGTTTTCAAAATTGTATAGATGTAATTGATTCCATAGGCTTTCTGGAAAATACTGAAAATGATAAGCAAATGGTTAAAGGAAACAAGATTAACATTTGTGTGGGTTTTTTTTTTTTGTGATGGTGGTGAATTATGTGCATGTAATATTCAAACAAAATATTACTATGGATAGTAATTGTTTTTTTATCCTCATGCCTCTGTTAGAATAACACATTCCATTAAGTCCACAGTTTTCTATGATCATAAGCTTTGATAGTCTGCCATTGTGGAACTAGGTATATTTCTTAATGGATATTCTGTCGCCCAGGGTGGAAAACCTACAAGCCTGACACATCGCTGAGCAACCAGGAGGCTGTCGTAGTCGCCTCAGCTTTGGGTTCCAGTTTCTGCTTCAGGGAGTGTTTCTGCCTCTGACAGGAAAGAGGTTACCCACAGGGTACAGGGATACTAAGATCATTCATCAGTTTCCCAAATGCCTGTTACACATATTTATTTATTCACATTTCTAGGGATAACTTGCCCCATGTATTTATTGAAGTACCTTAAAAACCACTTTAGAAGTTTCAAAAAATGCCTTGAACTTGTGTGCTTTCAGAAATATTGCATGCATTTTTTCTCCTGACGTTTCAGATGAAATAGACCTGGAAGGATTATGCACAGTAGGAACCCACAACTCCACTTGCCCTGTCCCATGCGAAGAAACAGATTATCCTACCACTGTCACCTACTCAAGCTTTGCAGGAGAAAAAGCCATAAAATTTATTTCTGCAAAGCTGAAGAAAAGCCCAGAATACATCAGGTAATCTCACTTAATGCTGTACCTATTAAGGACTATGATCAATTGCTTTTAATGCACTTGTCAATGCCATAAARCAGATCCCCAGTTAAAGAAAAATAAATGTTCTCAATTAGATTTCCTGTCACTGATGTCTCAAAACATAAAAAAAATAACAGAGTAGGTTATCAGATATCCACGGTGCACTTGAGCAATCCATTCAGTAGACAAGTCTTGMCATCTTTAACCCTTCCACAGCTGAAGCCTGCAAACAACCCAGACCAGGGAACACATCAACAGGAAATATATCAAGATTGTGAAAATGAAACCCATTAATATATGAAAAAGCCTTCAAGAACATTTTAACTTTAGCAATTATTTTACTGTCTGTAAACATAGTGCACACACCAGCAGTTATTCAATTAAGCAAACAAAAATAAGAACATTCTTCCGTTACTAAGTCCTACCCAATAGGAATCACACCAACATATTAATGAGTCCATATTCCCAACTATAAAACATGGAGACCAATTGATTTCTGAAAATGTAAAAAGGGAAAAGTTAACTATTTACCACCTTATTGGATCGTACCACTAGCAACTCATTATAATAGTAGGAAACTTTATTAATAGAATCTATTCAAGTAGACTAAACTCTTCTCGGTGGTGGCCAGTAATAGCACAAAGGGTAACAGGTACAAATTGAAACACCAGAAGTCCCATCTCCATGTGAGGAAGAACTTCTTTCCTGTGAGGGTGACAGAGCCCTGGCACAGGCTGCCCAGGGAGGCTGTGGAGTCTCCTTCTCTGGAGATCTCCTAAACCCGCCTGGATGCCRMCCTGTGCCCTGTGCTCTRGGTGTCCCTCCTGGAGCAGGGGGGTTGGACTAGATGATCTCTAGAGGTTTCCTCCAACATCAACCATTATGTGAAAACCCTAAAATTCAGATAAAGAGATGGAAATGGAAATTAAGTATTTGCCATGTAGATTCATCGCCAAATACTGTTAACAAGCTCATAATCTTTTTCCAATACAACCTGTATCTATTAACAGTCCTGAGAAATAATCACTTCCTTTACTCTTCAATTTTGTGAAAACAGATTCTGTGGCTGTTTTACTCCACAACAATTATGTTTATTTATGAATCTGTGTAGCCACTGAATAGAAGAGATGAGCTCTCTATTCACCTGAATAATTTCCTGCTTCAACAGAGATTTACATTCTCTTCCATTTTGCAGCATAAGAGAATAAAGTTAGGTAAGAAGGGCTCTTGGCAGGAAATAAAGCCAAACCTATGAGCAGAGGACAAAGGGTCTTCTGCATCAAGACTCCCATTGATATCAGCAGGATTAAACATGCACTAGCACAGAAACAGAAGTGGGGGCTCTGGACCAAAGGCATCTCCCAGCACTGTATCTGTCCTAGTTCAGGCTGTTCACCTAGTTCACCCTTCCACTCCAGCTTCTCTTTAAGATCCTGAAAAAGCTGGAGTTCAACCACACTGAGTCATTGCAGCGCAAACTGAAACTCTGCTCCTCCTTTCATATGTTACCAGGACATTTTCTTCAGGCTTTGAGTTGATTTTTGCTAATTTAATCTCAATAAAAGTGACCAGGACAGTCCTTGAATTAATTTCATCCTAATAGGAGACAAGAAATATAAACAGCCCATCTGACTCTCTCAAGTAAAACTGTGTTTATTTGTTATTAGGCAGAATCTTGTGCATATTGACATTAAATATAATGATCTGAACTACAAAACCACACAGCAGCAGAAAGCCTTGACTGTAGCTGAGTTGCTTGGTGAGTATTATTTAATATTTGTTTATTTTTGATTAATAATTAAACCAAAGATAACCCTGGTTTTATTCTCCCCTGTTCCAAGTCATGGGCTAGCTGGGTTTATAAAAAAAAAAAAAAAAAAAAAAAAAAAAAAGGCAATGTCTTTTATATTCTAATGGCAATAATCACATGTTGGCTGCATGCTCAGTTTTGAAACAGTCTCCTGCTACTCCAGGAAATGACTTGCACCATGGACAGCAGTGGAGATTTTACACTCATTTGTGGCTATACAACATATGGAACCACAACAGTGGTGAGGTATAAAGGATTTGGAAGGTAAAGAGAAAAAGAGGGGAGGGAGAAGCAAGAGAAAGCTTAAAAAGACATAGAAGTAGAAAATATTCTATGCACATGCTCCACAGCAGGACTTCATGCACTGTATTTGTATTTTTTAGAATCTTCATAAAAATGTTAATCTTCTCCCAAAAACATTAAGAATATTAACTCTGTTTTCATAAAGTGATGAATGATGTAAACTTTTTTTTTAGCTCTTGAACCCATCAGAGTTTTGTTGGCTTGCTAGACTAAACCAGATGCTTAGGGTGACATCTGTTTATTTCCTGCTGTTCTAGCTGATGTTGGGGGCCAGCTCGGGCTGTTTTGTGGTGCCAGTATGATTACAATCATAGAGCTGCTTGAGTATATTTTTACCAACTTCTGCTGGATGTGCATCTTTCTTCTACTGAAAGCRCCTGAAATGCCTCAGTGGAATCTTCCATCCCAGGAAGAGCCAACAAACAAGGAAGAAAAGAAGGGAATACAGGAGTGTTAGGGACTTGTAGAAGCACAAAACTAACTGTTTTTGCAACTATCTTTCCTTTTTTAAAAAAGATAAAAAAGAGATGGTAATATCTTCCACTGCACCTATCTCTACATGCCTTACCCTTCCTGTTTCTCYTATTGCCTTGCACTACTTATCTCTGTTAAATTACTTTAAAGAGCAAACTTTGCAAAGTCTCACTTTCTCTCATAAAGAAAAATGTTATCTTGACCTAAAAATTTGTTTTAAAAGAAGTACTAATCTTTTTCATAGTAATATAGTAAATAATACTGACAGACAATGCAATGTYGCCTCTCTGACTCGGTTGAAAACTTCTGTATTTTGAGCAATTAGAAATAATTCTGGCAGATTAACATACATAATAACATACAGGACATGTTCCTAAGCCTTCAGTAAAGGTGTAGAATTGCATCAATAAACAAATAAAGCAAAAGCAAATACCATATGAAGTCATAAAGTTTTTCCTACTTGTGCACCATACTCAAATGTTCCAGTGAAGAATATTGGAGCTTTGACTACCAGAAGTGTGTCTTTTTGTCTGAAATATAATCCCATTCCACCATCAAAGGAAAGAAAAAATCTCCTCATGAGTCTGCCTGCTACTATAAATAGAAAACTGACAAACCTAGAGCATTTGGGTGGATGGGCAAGAGGGCAAACATAGCCCAAATTCATACTTTTGGACTCCAGAAAGAGCAAACAGACCTGCTTCCCTTTTATTATTTTTAATAAGCATCAAAAATTGTACAAATATGGTGTTATAAATCAATGGCTAAAAGTTTATTTCATTTAGGCATTGAAGCTACTGTCCTCGYTATTTATAAATATTCTGTTGACTGTTTTTCATTGCTGGAAGCAATCAAAATTCAAGATGACTCAGTAGGATCGAGCAACATAATTTCAATGTTTAAGATTGGGAAAGAGGATGATAAAACTTTTGAGCAAGACCTGGATAAAATCAGCAAGAATAAATTTCCTTGCTTTAATGCTAAATCAGGCTTCCTGAAAGGTTATTGTTTTAAAACTGTTAGAAAAGCTGCTGTGCTTTCCCCCTACATCAGGGTGGAACGCTTCAGGAGCGGTAGTAGTTCAGCTTCTTACGGTATTTTGGAGAAGATTTTAGTGACTAAACGAGCTTTCAAAGATGTGTAATAATATAGTTTACATAGACACCTCTCATCATATGCACACTAAAGCCCATAAAACAACTATGTAATAGAGACTTTTTTTTAAAAAAAGTACAACTTCTTAGCAAGCATCATAACCATTTCAAGTTAGAGTAGGATAATTGCACTGTATATAGTGTCTTTAATACATCTCTCTGTCTAGCATAAACACCAGAAATTAGTTCTGAACAAACCCTTGCTCTCCAGAGTCTCTTTGCAGAGTCCACTGACTTTCAGTGCATTGGAGGTGCCAAAAGAGATCTTCTGGAAACACTTTAGGAGAGGCAGAGATGAGATGCACCCAAGATTAAGTTTAAGACTATATGCTTAAGTATGATCCCGATTGGAAGCATGGATTACTATTCAAAATAAGTCATAGGTAGTAGCAATAGATAGCTTTAAAAACTTACAGACTGCTCCCCAGATGTCAGGAGAGTTTAGACATCATGCCAGGCTAAGCCCAGCAGTAGAGGTGCACATCAGAGGTGCTGACCAGGCTACCACCTTTTCCCTCCTGCCTCCCAGCAGTGCTGGGGCTCTGTGACCCTCGCTGTGCCGGGCAGCCGCCCTCTACGCTCTCCACAAACGCCTGAAACACTCTGTAACTCACACTGCTCTTCCACACAGTCTCCTCACCTCTAATAATTAATCCTTTCCATAAAGGATATAGCACGTGCATTCACATAAGCTGCTGCGTCCCCAAGGTTATTTACAAAGCAATGAAAATGCCACCCTTGGGTAAGAGCTTCCCTTCAGCCTAAGCACCAGGACAAGTCACTCTGGAAACCCAGGAAAGGTTTCTGCTTCTTAGAAAGAGATCTACCCAATCCTGCTTCCCGAGAACATGTATTGGCCAACACGGAGTCATGAGGAAGGATGTGAAGCAGCCCGGGCTGCGCCGCGACTCCTGCGCGAGGAGCAGGCCCAGCCTCGAGCAGCTCGTAGCCCTCGCACTCCTGAACCACAAGAACAGCTGGAAACAGAAACTGGGTTATTGGCTGGTTTCTGGGTTAAAAAAAAAAGGGGGGGGGAGGGGGAGGAAGATGAAACAGTCATCTAATACGCTTTGCATTACAGAGATCAAAGKGTTATACAGTCATCATAGTGTTTTGAGGGTGACTTGTTTTCTTCTGCTAATAAGGACTAAATAAAACCAAGACGGAATTGTAAGGGCTAACCAAGGAAAATTGGTATTGTTCCTGCTGGACAGAAYAGACAAAGGAAATGAAGCCCAGAACACGCTAAAGACTCCGAGCAAAAGGCCGGAGCTCCACAAGGGGAGGCTCCGCTAAGCCAAGCRCACGACAGCAGGGCCTTCTGCAGAACCCCGCTGCCTTGGGACAAGGCAGCTGAAATAGCAGGTCGCTTACAGGTTCTGCTCGCCCACARGGACCTCTATGGAAAGCACAAAGATCGGTGCTTTCGCCCAAGGTCAAGTAGCAGACTGGGCCACACTCTCTCCAGCGGGCACTGGTGCCGAGGTTGACCTAAAGCAAATGGTTCTGCAGCCCAGCGAGGGTCAGCAAGYGCCTGCGCGGCGCAGCAGCAGCAAGGGAGCTTCTGTGCTCTCTGCAGTGGGGCTCTGGGGCTGTTCAGGCAACAGAGTGTTAAGGGAGGTTCAAGAAAATATTGTGCTTTACTGGATGAGTAAAAGTGACATATCTAAACAGACAGCAGCAAGGTAGTTTTGGCAGAGCGTTTCTCAATTTAGCACTACCTTACTGCTTGGTAGTGTGCTTTTTCCTTTTTGCAAATGCAGCTCTGTGGTGAAAGCATGGAGCTCAGCAAGTTTTCCYGGTGCTAATAATTTGAATCTAAAACATTAATCCTAATTGCCATAGCATTGGGAAGCAGGTGAGAGCACCAGAGCAACTCCTGGTACAAGGAAAGCAGCTTCCTGCCCTAACAGAGAGATTCTGCCATAGGTGAATGTGTGGTGGGTGGGAAGGCTGTGAATATTAAAAGACTTGCACCACATGATTTAAGAAGCTTCACTGGCTCATTGCCTCCTTTCCTCTAGCTTTATTTCAAATYCTAGTGTTGCAATGTAAGTATCTGACAGTTCTAAAAGGAGTGACAGAAAATAAGGATTTATGCAAGGGGAAGCTACACACTTTTGGCCACAGAGAGTAGCAAACAGGACTGGCACTTGATTATCTGGCAAGGCAAAATGARCACAGACCAGCCCGTACAGAAGGGCTTGGATCAGACTTGTGTCGTGGATGAATTCATTGCAGTGTCTCACCAGTAGATGTCCCACGTACCATAGGCTTCTCCTGGGTGCATGGAGCATCCTATTATAGAAATGCTCAGCACAACCCACGTTGGATTATTCTCCTCTGATTAATAATGCTTTGGAAATATTTCAGAGGAATTACTCACAGACCAAATATTACTTAGTCTGAGCCAAGAAACACTGTCTTTGCAGCACAATGTTTAGATTAATTTCTGAGGTAACCATYCCCAGTCCCCACTGCCTACTGAGGGATCCACTGAAGAGCTTACAGAAACCAGCTTCTAAAGTCTCAGACTAGGATGAACTGTACTGCTGCACTCGTACCACCGGCCAGAGCACTCGGTGTTTTGGAAGTATATCCCTCACACAACACTATAAACACCAGTCCTTCTACTTAGTGTAACTGTCTCCTGAGCTAAACACATTCTCAGCTTGACAGTCGACCTGCTTAGTAAACTCAGGATACAGGAAGTATTTTCAAGTTCATATTGCAGTAATTAATTACTGCTATACTGAAACATGACTGGATTATAAGTGATAAGCTGCACATGAACAGGATATTGCTGCAGATCCCAGGCTAGCATCTCATCTTGTCGCTGCTTACAATGGTCTGGCTCCTGCTGGCTCTCTTGCTCCACGAATGCCTTTATCTGCCAAGCCAAGTTCACTTCAGGTGACTCCTCACCGGAAGCAAAGACACTGCAAGACCAAGGGTAACTTCRGAAGAGAAAGACTCCTGCCTACCACTGTCCTCCACGCACACAACCAAGGCACAGACAGGGGCACCCTGCACACCTCGTGCCCAAGAATAGGGCCTCTAACAGTGTTTTTTAAAATCCACCTGCAGGAGCAGGATTGGTTTTACAAAGTGGAGCAGAGGAAGAGCTCCCCACATCCACCTGTTCTTTCCCAAGCTAAAGGTCCCCTGCCYCTAGGAAAGCAGGTCCTTTGGGTTCATGGGGTCTGGGTAACTACATACACCAGTTCTGTTGTGCTAATGCTGGGCTTTGCCTGGCCTTGAGCCRTAGAAAGCTCCATAGCACCTCCAGTACACTTCACAGGCTTTGGCAAAAGAGGTTCCCTTACCTACTTTCACCTACCAAAGCTTCCAAATAGGCATTTAAGGCTGGGTGTTGTCAATATATCCCAAAGATACTTAAAAAGCATAAATTTAAACTATCAATCAACTGCAGACTTGAAAAAAAAATTTTTTTTTGTAGAGAAGTTGAGAAGCACAGGCTCCTCAGCACTGCCCATGAGCCACACAGCTTCCAAAAACRTCATTCGTTAATAAAACAAAGCTTGCTTCTGGTATTGTTCAACCCMGTCCACATGCAYGCCACTAAAGTAATTTTTTTCATAGGACAGTTTTCATGGCTAAGGTTATTTAGGGTACCAGTTAAGTATTTTAATATAATTTAATTCCCTGGGATAATCAACATAACCTCCATGGTTATAACTTTCATATGCTGGAGCTGCCARAAGAAATAGATCTGAAAAGCTTGCTCTACTCCAGAGTAATACGACCAGCTCTGAGCCCAGGTAGACTAGTCCACCAGCCTGATACATATATAACCAGATAGCCTTGAAGTAAAAAACTAACATTTCTGTCCACAGATTCACAGGACCACTATGATTTGTTAGAGAGATGCCCTAGGGTTCAGTGAGCTTGGGGAAAATTTTCCAAGCTAAAACCACCCAGTGACTTCAAAGCACATCCATGTAAACCTATAGCTCACTTAGAGACTGGGAATGCTTTAATCTGAAAGATTACATCACATCTTGATCTGTAGTCTGAACAAAGGGATTTKGGGGGGGTTATTTTAATTAAAACTTCATAAAACTACCTCAATAAAACCAGCAAATGATGCCCTCCATGAAACAAGCTAGAGAGCAGAAGAAACTTTTAACTAGAGACACTTCATTAAATGGCTGCTTCAACACTAAGCTATAAGAAGCACTGCTTACCATTGGAACAACCAAGTGCAGCAAACCCTAACAAGTAGCTCAAAAAAAAAAAAAAAGCGCAAAATGATTAGTTAAAGAACTACAAACCTCTCAAAAAAACTGAAGAGAAACAAAGTGGTGCCAGACAGTCAATCAGTGTATTTCAGAGTAGTCATCTCATTTCTCTCAAGACGCCTTTGCTGTCAGTGTCCTTTATTTTGCAGCAGCACATTTCAGATTAGGACTCCAGCACAGGAAGCTCACCACAAGACTAGACCCTGCTCCAAAGCTCCTGCAGCCCCCAGGAAACCACAGAGCATCAACCCCTACTCTCAAGTCAAAGCAGATCTTGCAGAATGCTACCATCTTTTGAGCTAAGAAAACCACCACCACTTCCACACCCACACTCTCTTCATCTGCTCCCTCATCCACACACCCCTCTCAAGCAAAGCTTAATTGCATTAACATAAATTGAGTCACCAAAATAGCCACAGCTGGGCAGGACTCCCATAGAGCCTCCTTGTCCTCCTAGCTGCATGGTAGGAGCAGCTGCAACACTTCACACCAGACACAAGAGCTCAGCCCTGCCACTCAGCTTGTTGACAACATCTTTGAGTCCGATCCTGCAAATGTCAAAAAAAAAGGTGATAATAATTATAAAATTAGCAGACAGTAGATTGTGAGGTTCTAAGCTAAGTTCTGAGGCAAATTATTCTTTCTTTACTGCTGCTACATGACCCAATTATCTCCACTTGAGATTGCCCAGTTTCTGGAGATACCACAAGAAGTCTTTAGTACAATGA